TTTAATATATATTTAATATATATTTAATATATATTTAATATATATTTTATATATATTTTATATATATTTTATATATATTTTATATATATTTTATATATATTTTATATATATTTTTTATATATTTTTATATATTTTTATATATTTTATATATATTTTTATATATTTTTATATATTTTTATATATTTTATTTTTTATATATTTTTAATATATTTTTATATTTTTTATATTTTTTAAATATATTTTAAAATATATTTTTAATATATTTTTTTATATATTTTTTATATATTTTTATATATATATACAAGCATGCGCAGGCTGGCATGCTCAGCTGTCACACCACAGAATGAAGAGCATCTTGATCTGCTCATTCATGTGAATCAAAATATTATGACCAGAGAACTTGTACAGAGCTGAATACGAGCCTCAGTGCATTGGAAACAATGGTGGCAACATTGGAATATTGCAGAGTTTGTGCCAGGTGGGTCCCACAGATGTTCATGTAGGAAAAGAAAAAAAACAGTGTATGCAAGTTTGTCAGGACCAGTATGAACCAATATGAGGCTAAGGGTGACTGTTTTCCAGATCACACCATTACTGGTGATGAGATGTGCGGCCACCATGTGAGCTGGAATCAAAACTGCAGTCCATGGAGTGGTGACATGTGAATTCCTCATTGAATAAAGAAGTTCAGGACGTACTATGATGTGCACTGTCTTTTGGGATGAGAAAGAGGTGATCTTTCCAGACTTCCTGGAACCTGGACAGACTGTCAACTGTGACCTCGACATCATGATGCTGACTAAGCTGAAGGCTCCAACTTCCAGAGTCAGTCCAGAGAAGAAAACATGAGAGCTCCAGTGCCCATACCAGTTTGAAGACTGTAGACACATTGTGAATCTTGGCCGGACTGCCCTACCATACTCATCATGTAGTCCAGATTTAGTGCCTTCTGACTTCCATCTGTTTGGGCTGATGAAAGATGGACTGCATCACCAACATTTTACTAACAGTGATGCCTTTGTAGCAGCTGTGAAACAGTGGGTCACCTCCACTAGTGTATATTTTTGAGTGCAGGCTCTTGTTCACGGCTGGGGGAAATACATAGATACTGGCAGTGACTATGTTGGAAAACAGTATTTTGAAGCTGAGAATATGCTCTATGAGATAGTGTTAATGTGCTTTTACATCTGCTGTGGTTCCTTGGAAATAAACAGGAGGCATTACTTTGAGAGTGATGTGTGTGTCCATGTGTGCATTACTTTGCGATACCTGTGTTGGACAGTCTGTTCCTGGATGAGGAACAGATAAGACAGATCCACAGGATGAACTACTTCTTATTTCTATGGCAAGTCAGGAGGTTGTGCTTTGAGTGGAATTGTTTTTTTTTAATATGAAGCAGAAAGAGATCGCTAGTGCAACTAAGACCAACAAGTTAGATGCAGTCAGTTTTTACGGTCTTGAACTTTATTTTTCCAGAAGTTCCAGGATTTTCTGCACCAAGCATATGTGTCTTTCAGATCACTTATAGGAAGTACAGCTATCCAAATCAGATTGTGCTATGCTTAATGTTGCTGAAGGGTGCATTTCATTCCTATAGCATGTCTTTACCTTCTCAGCAAGGAAAGTTAATAGCAGAAGACTCCATATCACGTTCTCCTGCTTGTGTTGCTGAGTGTTGTTTCCCTGACACAGGTGTTATTTCTAGATATATTCTATACTGGGATTAAAATTTTAAATATCATTTACATGGATTGTCTGTTGCTGTGTCTGCTTATTCCTAGTGAGACAGACTGTGGTACTTCAGCTTAAAAATTCATTAAAAAGTTGAAGTAGCTCTTTCTCCACAAAACCAGACTCGAATTCAACTCAGGACCTAAAAGAGACTAATATTTATGCCAGTGACAGTGTCTTGTATTTATTTGCATGTTTCTTTGATGGAGAATGTTGTTGGATGGCTGTTTATGCCGGGAAGAAGGAATATAATGGTGAGATTACTTGTTTTTTTTTCTTTCTACTTCTTTATAGCTTAACAATAAAAGTTTCACTTTTTTTTTTCTCTTCCCTTTTGAATTCCAGGCAGAGTGTACTTGTACTTATGACTGAATTTCTTAAATTGCTTTCAAAATTTCACTGTGGTCAGGAAATCAGGCTATGTGTTTTATCCCCTAACATCATCCCAGTAAAGGGGAGGCACTTTCAGTTTGGAGAACTTTTTCATAGATATTGGATTGGAAGAAAGGACATTTCCCATTGTACCTACAATTGAACTGTGGATGAGTGCATTGTGGATTCTATGCCCTGTTCTTTCAGCCACCTAAAAGCTCAGGCAAATCATGGGGGAATGCCACAGAATAATATATATATAATATATTATATTATAATTTTTATATATATATATATATATATATATATATTATATCTATATAATATATAGAATAAAATATATTAAATATATATATTATATATATTTATATATATATAATATATATATATATATAAAACCATAGAATAATATAGATTTTAACTGAAAAATTTGTACCAATCTGTTGCAGAAACAAAGATCAATTTGAAAGTTAAATACAGCTTTGACATTTGATTAGACTCTTCAGTGCATATCCAGACAGCTTTAGAAAATCTCCAGAAATGTAGTCACCGTAGGCTCTCTGGCAGTCTGCTCCAATGTTTGACCATCCTCACAGAGGAAAAAAGTGGTGTAGTATGTATGCAGCCACAAGTGTGTTTGTGGGTTGCATCTGTTCTGTAATGCAGACCAAAGCTGTGTGTGTGTGTGTGATATGATTCTTTGTGTGGAGAACTTCCTCCTCACTTTCACAGCCTGTCTTTCTGTGAGAGTGTTTATCCATTCACTTCAGCACTCCAGACGTGCAAACTATTCAATCATATTTCTGTGCTTCCTAGTGAGATTGTACCTTTTCCTTTGCATGTGGCCTTCCTCTTTTTGCCCTCACTGAACAAATGCATGAACCAGTGCCTAAGATGATTTGCTTGCATTGCTTTTACAGGGAAAGTGTGCAAGGGTATCATGCTCTTGGGTATACTTTTCCACAGCCCTGTGACCAGTTTTCTTTAAACTGGTCACTCTTGCACTGTGAAACTGGTTTAAGTCCCTCCTTGTTATCGGCATAGAATCTGTTGGTATAGATAGTCTAGCTCTGCTTTGTCAGATTTTCTCTCTTCAGCAGTTTCCATTCTTCAGAAAGGATTTTGGGATGGTAAATGCCATACCATTTTATGTGGCAGCAGTTGTGAAACCAGATGTTGCTCAGGAGGATGTTTCTTCTGCTCAAGCCTTTCCCCTTGTGGATGAGGTGAAAGAGTACAGTACCTGTGTTCTTGTACAGCTCACCTAGCATATAATTATGCTATATATCTAACTACGTGTTTCAGTGCTTTTGCTTGTTTGTTGTACTTGAATGAGGCTAGCTTCTGGGCCTTAGTAGCAATTTCACTGCCAATTTTTTCTTACCTAACACTGGGAGTCATCAGGGATTGTATTGTTAATTTAGGACAGGAGAACAAGAAGACATTTGGAAAGAGGGAAATCTGGCTGATGAACTTCTTTTTACAAAGTTGGAAGGAGGGATAATGATCACGGAGCTATAAATGCAGGTAGAACAAAAAACCATGCTGCAGAGAATTCTACAGTCTCAGAATGGCAGTATGCTAATATTTTAAGCTGTTTAGATGATTGCTGTTGTTGCTATGATCCAGGCTTGTTTGTTGCACTGACGTTTATATTGATCGCTTCCTATAGTGAGCTCATTATGCAGTACCTGCAGAAATCAAATTGAATGAAGGAACAGAATAGTTTTGTTGCTGATATAGGATGTTTGCCAGTTCACCAGTGGGTGCAGCGAGTGCTAGTGAATGATTTGCATGGATTACATAGGGCTGGAGAATTGTACTTGCTACAGCAGCAGTTGAGAGTGACTTCTCTTTGTTTTTTAACTACAGTATTACCTGACTGTCCAGCAGCCTTTTCTCATGGTGATTTCTAAAAATGTGTTCATTTCTCCTCTATTTTTGCTTGAGCCTAAGGTATGTAATGCACAGTCAACTATTCAACTTTTCAGAGCTTTTGATCTTTTTAAATAATTAAAGGCAGAGTTTAGGAGAGAATGTAAATGACAGTTCTATTTCTGAGAATGAATTAAAGGTAGCATTTGGAGTTGAGATTTTTCTGATTGTATTCCTAAAAGCAGAGGAAAACGTAATCAAATATTTGAAGGAGTTTCTTAGAGGAATCTGCGCAATATTGATTTGAGCCTTGTAATACTAACTGCTTGTAAAAAGCTTTGGTTTCTTGTCATTTTTTTTTGTGGTCAGATCAACAACCCTTCAGTGCTTTTTGTCTCTTTAAGTTAGGCAGGTGCTAATTTCCAAACAGGTAAGACAAAGACCTTATGAGCTTGTAGTTCAAAGAAAAAGTAGGTAAAGGCATTTGGATTGATAGACTTAGCACTACATTTGAAGTCTAAAGATTACTAAGATTGGTAAGACTTCCTAAACGTATTGATTTCAAAGGTCAAAATAAGCTGACAGTTGGGGATATCCCTTCTGTTGTCTTTCAGTTCAGTACTACCATTGCCTGCTTTTCTTTATTTGTCTGGTCTGGTTGGAAGGACTGTTTATCTGTGTAATTTTGAGGAACATTTTCTTGTTAAGGTAGTTACAGATTGTGTGGAGTGTCTTAATTAGGGAGCATACTAAGCAGATGTCTTAATTAGTTAACACAGTCTTGGTACTAGGTGGAAGCTTCTGCATCCACAACATGTGAGAAACCAAGGCGTGATCTGGTGGGTAGCAACTCTGTCCGTGGCAGAAAGGTTGAAATTGAATGGTTGAGATCCTTCCAACACCAACCATTCTATGATTGTATTTGTATTTTCATTACAGTACTGTCACGAACCTTGTGTGCAGTTACTGCAGTGTCATTTTAACCCTGTAAAGCTGGGAAGAGGAAAGAACCCCAGTAAGCTTATAGAGGAATTAGGAAAATTGAATCCTTCCATCTTCAGTTTTGCTTTCTCTGTATTTTTTTTTTTTAAAGTCTGTCAAAACTAGGAAATTTTAGATTATATCTTTGTGTTTACAACAATTCCATTTATTTATTTAGTATTTATTTACTTATATGTTTATTTATATATTTATGTTGTACTTCTCTTATGAAGAGACCCCAAACTGTTATATAGCATATATAAATTAAATATTTCTCTACCATACACACAAAAACACTAAACATTAAGATAGAAAATATCAACAGAGATGAGAGCTGATGTTATCACTGCAAGCTTTGAAAGTCAATTTTAACCCAGCCTTTGAGGCAAGTATCATTATTCAGTTACTGCTCTTAAGAAGGTCACATTTGTCTCCAAAACAAATGACTCATAAAGCTAATGTAATTTTGTTTAGATGGTTCTTAGACTGGAATTACAGGTCAAAAGAATATTGTTAGGGAACTTTCATGTTCCCCAAAATTCAGGCTCAAAAAACACATTTAGGAACACTTGGAAAGACATATAGTTGGATGTTATTTATTAAACGTTTCTGACAGTGTAAGAACTTCTAGATGTCTTACTTGATGTGGGAGACAGATATGAAGGATACATGTCTCTGTTAGAAGTGGAAGACTCCTTTGGGATACTTCTCCACTGAGTGATTTGCTTTTAATAATAAAAGGATGAGTTGCTGAGATAAAAGAGGATGGTTTTTGGTAGCAGAGAGAGATGAGGTGCTTAAATTTTGGACATTACAGGAAAAATCTTAGATTCATCTCAGGTGCAAGGAGATGTCTCTGCCATGATGGATTGCTTGAATTTTTCCTCTGGATTTATGTCTGGTTTTGGAAAGACCTTTGTGATTACCCATTTTTTGGGGGCGTGTGCTCTTAATTCTTCATCTGCTATTTATTTCTAAGGCTCTTGATGTTGATGAGCTCTAGATAGATGATAAAAAGTGACAGATATCTGCCACAGTTCTGTCACTTGAGTGCTTTGTACTTTTAAAGCCTTAAGAGCATACTTGACCTAAGAAATGTACTGAGATGTCCTAGTGGAGAAAATTGTGTGAAAATCTTGACAAGATATACAAGAATACTCATCTATAGTGATGTAGAAACTAAGAGATCGTGTTTCTTCTATAAGCAAAATGCTCTTTTTGCTTCTGAGGTATGGTGTATGCTGAGCAGTGGTTTTAGGCAGCAGTTCCATTAGGC